ATAGGATGCATCCCTGGCATACACCCTTCCCAATTTTGAACCATGCAGTGTTTCCTTGCTCTGTTCTGACGACTGCCTCCTGGTCCAAGTATAGTTTTCGCATTAGAATGATCAAGTGTTCTGGGATTCCCATTCTTCTCAGAGTCCGCCATAGTTTGTTATGATCCACACAGTCAAATGCCTTTGCATAATCAATGAAACACAGATAGACATTCTTCTGGTATTTCCTGATTTCAGCTAAGATCCATCTAACATTAGCTACAATATCCCTAGAGGAGCTGTGGTATAGTCACACAATGGAGTATTACACAGCACTGAAAAACAAAGAAGTCATGAAATCTTATACAAAATGGGTAACCATGGAGGACATTATGCTGAGTGAAATATCTCAGTTACAAAAAGACAAAACTGTATAATGCCACTGTTATAGAACAAGATTGATATGGGGTTTTGAGGACACTAAGAAAAGAGGGGACAATGCACATGGCATTGAAACAGATGAGGGGGAGAACTGCATAAAAAGAATATATGATTTGGTATTATTGGCACGACAAGAGTCCAGAAAAAGAGTTGCATAGTAAAGTGGCCGAGGGGGTAGTGTATAACAATGAAAGAACTTTCTTTCCAAAGAAAAGAGCGAACTTGCAGGGAGGAAAATGAATGAATGGAAATTTTAAAAAAAGAATATGTTCAAACCTGTTAATACCATATAAATTTATAAAGTACACATTTTCTAAAAAAAAAAACAAAAACAACCCAACAACATCCTTTTTAAAAAATGCGAATTTTAAATTTTGTCTACAGAGGGGAAAAATTCTAATTCTAAGAGTCTTATGACTGAATTTACTATAACATTTCCTCCAAAATGAAATGGATTCCAGGGCATCTGGGTCCTAAGAGAGTCAGCACCCACCAAGGGCAGACGCACCTGTCCTCCCACCACACCCTCCACCTAAGGGCAGCCACACCTGTCCTCCTCCGACCCCACCCTCCACCTAAGGGCAGACACACCTGTCCCCCTCCCACCACACCCTCCA